TATATATATATATATATATATATATATATATATATATATATATATGATAAATATATCAAAAATGCATGCGGCTACTCAAATGAAAGCTCTTGATGAGCAGAATATCGGAATGAGCTTATATCTTTAAAAAGGTCAATAGTTTAGAAAATACAGTGCAATTTAACAAGTCATTTAATAAAGCAAAAGTTTAGAAATAATTAAAAAATAATTAGAAATTTTTGTTAATATCAATACAAAATCGTAATTGTAATAAAAATAAAAATTTTATTAATGAATAATATTTTCAGATTTCGATAGACTTACCACAACTAAAGTACATAAGAAGTTTCGTTGAAAGGATGAAAAACATGTCGCCTCACTTGAGATTAATAGTAAACAACGACGGATTACTTGTCTTAAAAGTAGAAACAGACGCAGCTAGTGTTGCGACACATTTTCAAAATCTCCAAGTATGGAAAGCAGATGAATCAGAAAGAGATAGTGTTACAGCAGCAGTTGACATCAGACGTTTTTTCACTATCCATACTTGGGACGCTATTCATCCCGATTCAGTTAAATGTAACATTATTAATGAGAGGCTAGTATACATACACATTAACCTAGACGATAATATAAAAGTCCATCATTTTATCCCAGCAGTAGCAATTGATTAATACAATTTAAATTAGATTTACAAAAAGAAAAATTATTTATTTTTATAAGAAACAATGAATAAACCAAAACGTGTATTACAAAGTAATAATTAATTTAATTATAAGCTAAACTGAAACTTCTTTCATTTTCTTGTCTAAAATTTTGGTGCATTTGATCAATTTGTTGAATTCTTTGCGCAATAATTGAAGTTCTTTGATCAATCCACTGCAAACTGTTCATATGTGCATTTAAAATTTTTCCAATTTGAACAATTGGATCACTCGAATCTTGAGCACGATTAGCTTCATTAAGATGTTCAATAATTTCTTTAAGATCTTCAGACATTTGTTTCAACTGAGTGTCTAATTTTTCCGAAAGTCTATAAGTATATTCTCGCTCTGGATCAGAAACTGAAATATTAGCAAGTTCTTTTTCAAGAGGTACTAAACAGTCTTGTAATTCTTTTTGTTGTCCTACAACATAATCAAGCTCATGCTCTAATTGTTGTTGTTCAAGTTTAACCTTCTCTACTTGTTGATTCAAGGTAACTATTTTTTCCCCATTAGCAATAAGTAATTTGTCCCAAGCGTTAATTTGTGTAGCTTGATTCATAAAAACTTTTTCTTGCTCTTCCAACTCTAAAGTCCACTTATTAATGGACTCTTCTAGCTGGCAGAAATTAATCGCGCCTAATTGCCCGCTACTCGACGAGGAACTAACAGTTGTAGTTGTTCCTAGTGTAGTTTGTGTTGTTCCAGTAGTTTGAGTCGTATTTGGAGCCACAGCTGCTGCTGTAGTTGTTTTATTCAATGAAAATCCTCCAGGTGCTGCAGTTGTAGCTCCGCTGAGATTGAAGCCCGTGGTAGCTGCTGAGGTTGTTCCGGGCAATGAAAATCCGCTTAACGATGAAGTAGTACTTGGTACAGCTGCACCCAGTGATAGTGATAGTTGAGCTGATGTAGCAGCGGGCAAGCTGGTTGTTGATGTTAAATTAAAGCCGGTGGTAGCACTTGATCCCAGAGTCAGTTTATTTGACAGAGAAACGTTTGGTGCCGGTGTGGATGTTGAAAGAGATCCAAACCCTGGTGCTAAACTTGAACTTGTCGTGCCAGTACCAGTACCAGTTAAATTAAATCCAGTAGCTGGAGTGGATGCTGGTGCTCCAAATGATAGATTAGGTGTTGCTGGATTGGTTGCTGCAGCTCCGAGTGTAAATCCTGGAGTTGATTTTGGAACCCCGAAATTCGGGGCTGGGGTTGATAAAGTACTGAGAGTAGGAGCAGCAGTAGCGGTACTGACTGAGAAGCCACCAGCTCCAGGCATACGAATATTTGATCCTCCTAAATTCAATGGACAGACAGAAAAAATCTTTTTAAAAAATTCATTTGTTACCAAAGACTAATACTTAACATCTTAATAATAATAATAATAATAATAATAATAATAATAGGTGAAATTGTATTTATAGCTTGTAAGGAAAAAAAGTTTGGAAAATCCAAAAGTGCACGCCTCATAATCTCATTTTTTAAAATAAAATTGATTAAAATAAAATAATAAAAAACAGAAAACACTGCTATGGTTTAGTGGCGCCATAACTGCAAGGTGAGGAAAAAAATACTATAATAAATGGTATAGATAGAAATAAACAAAAAAAATCCAGTCATATAAGGTAAAGTACCCAGTACTTGAACACTTCTAAAAATGGGACCAGTAGTTGAACAGACTTTTACAATTGTTGTAATACAAAATCTGTATATATAATATTATGAGTAATATGCGCATGTTATAATTATTCAATGATACAGTAATTGATTTTGGTAAGTTTTTTCAATTATAGATCAAAACAATTACATTTTTGTTAACTTTAAAGTTGACATGTCGAGAATAACCGATAGATGCTATTTTTTTTTCATGAAAAAGGTACTAAACCGTAAACCGAACAATCAGTAAAAAAAAACGGTGTATCATCATTTTAAGTGAAAAAAATTGTACCACCCAATGAAATAGTCTTTTCTAAATAATACATATTTTTTGCAAGGACATAAACTATAATTTTTATATTAAATTTTAGCGTTCAACTATACCTCCCAATTTTCAAAGCGATACCCAGAACTTGAACAAGTTGGGACCGTATAAATTTAACAGCACTCTAACCTTTAATAGGTTTATAGACTAGTGATCAGTATTGTGATTTGTATTAATTACTGCAAATTAAATAAGTTTTAGAACTAAAAATTAGTATAGTTAAAAATTATTGAACGTTTTGAATTGAGTTTTTTTGATTTATAATTGAAAATTTACTTTGTCATTCATAAAAAATGTAATTAAAAAATCAAATACAAATGCGTCTCATTTTTAAATGAACATATTAAATATCCACAGTATTATTTTTAATATTATTCAATAATATGTTATAAATCTTTGAATATTTCAATAAAACGTTAAAAATTTTTGGTGTACCTATTGCCATATATTTTATTAGTTCAACTACTGCTCCCGGAGTGGTCAATTACTGCGGCTTGTCAGAATTGATTGTTCAACTACTACTCCTTTCATAGTCTATTTTAAAAACGTTGTCAAATTATAAATATTCAATTATTTGCGTTATTTTGCACTTCAATCAATTCAAAATTGTTTATATTTTCATGAAAATCACTAATTTGAACTAATAATTAAATCTTTATATATTAAAAGTAGGGTCAAATACGTTTTACTTTGAAACCTGTTCAACTACTGGGTACTTTATTTATTTATTTATTCGATTTAGATGCCAAGGCATCAACCAAATGGCAAAAATACAAAAATAGGTGATATAAAGTATATGTAAGACGATAAACAGGTCTATATAAACACATTAACAATACAAAATTAGAAAAAGAAAAATAATCAATTAATTACAATCAGTCAAAGTGGAATGAAATAGGAGTAACAAGGAGTTTAAAAATATAAGTGCCAGACTGTTAGATATAATGTACTGCAAATTATACCAATTTTGACAACTTTAACAACTTGAATTTTCCTCAATAGTACCAGGTATCAGGCTCTCCTTAAGCTCAAGGTCATGAAAGAATTTATAGTACTTATAGTACTTACTTTACCTTATTAGTTTTTTATAAATAATAATTTAACGACAGTGAATTGAACGCTCATATTAACTAAGAAATTTTGTCGTGTGTTACTTTAGATAATTAAAAAAAAATTATTCCGATTGCCATAATTTGAGAAAGTTGTTAAGGTCTGACTTTCTCGAAAGACTCGGAAAAAATACTAAAATTTTTTTTCAAAAATTTGCACGGTGAATAAATTAAACTTCACTAGTAGATAAATAAGGACTTTAACTATTAGATAAAAATTAATTTTATGCATAATCTAATATTATTTAACATTGATGGCGAAAGGACCTCCTTGATTGGACTACGTAGATTATCAATCATGTAACTAATTAAATAGTTGCGAAATCGAGAAAAAACAAATTTTTCGATCGTAAAGCAGTCTCTGATGCTTCGCATCATGAGTCGTGCAATAACTTAAATGTTAATGCTTTGTAAAAGGCATAAATGTGATACGAATAAAACTCTTATCTATCTACCTAAATTCAGCGGGGTACTTGTTGTCATTCCAAAAGGAGAAGTTACGTTTGAAGTTGGTGCGGGAGGATTGAATGTTGGCACTGAGGATGGAATCATTGACGGCTGGGTCATCTGAGTTCCTGGATTTGAGCCAAATGTCAAGGTTGTCGTAATTCCTGGGCCGAAATTAGGTTTTTCTTGAGGTTGCGCTGCTGTTAACGGCTGTAATGTCCTTCCTGCATCTCCAGCCCCGAAAAATGTACCAGCTAAAAAAATTAGTGTTGTTACAAAAATAAATGCTTTTATTTTATTAAAAAAAAACATATATTTATTTACCTGGTGGGTTGGGTTGATTTTTTGTTGGATCGAAAAATGAACTCATTGTTAAAAAATGTTGATATTGTTGCGTATAACCTCAATAATTGAAAAAATTTTTGAATGAACTACTGAAAAGAAAAATACTCTATATTATACTTATTGAAATATTACGAATAAATATCAAGTATTATTTTCAAAGTGCTAGGTGAATTAATTGCATTGAAATTTATTAAAAATTTAATTTATTTACCTTGATTTTTTATACCGCGCAATTCAGACGTTTGGATCATTCGTTACTGAAGCATGGACTGTATAAAATATAGTGTGGTAGTTTTTTTTAAAGATATAGTAAGTGAAAGTAGATCTATATTATCGACATTACTGAAGTTAGCTGACAGCTGTCATTTTTTTGAATCTTTATAATAATAAAAAAATGCTTCTAAAATTTTCACCAAAAATTTTTTTTTAAATGACATTACATTTAGCTGTCACTTGACAATTTTTTTATTTTTTTTAACAAACAAATTTCTTTAAAAAAATTGCATTTTCAATGTTTTAAAATTTCTAAATGTCAATTTTTTTTTTAATTATTTTCTGTCAATTTATTTGTTACAAAAATTAATGAAAATTAAGTTAGCCGACATCTAAAAATTTTTAGAATTTTTTTTAATCAAAAAATAATGACAAAAAAATAAAAAAAAAATTTCACTTGTCAAAAACTTTAAAAACTGTAAGTGCAATTTTTCAAAAATATTTTATTGTTCTAATTTAATTTAAAAAAATAAATCAAAAAATTAAAAATGTCGGCTAACTTTATTATTATAAATATTAATATGACATTAAGTTTAGCTTTACAATTTTCTTTAATAAATAAATTATGGTAAAAATAATTATTAAAAAAATGGACTTGTAGAAATTTAATAAAATTAAAAATGCAATTTTTTGAAAATAATTTTTTATAACAAAATTTTTTGTTGAAGAAAATTAAAAAATTGTCAAGTGATAGCTAAATTTAAATGTCATTTAAAAAAAAATTTAAGATTAAAGTTAGCTGTCACTTTTAGCAAATTTTTTATTTTATTTAGCAATAAAATTAATTCTAAAAAATTGTATTTTTAATTTTTTTAAATTTCTACATGTCAATTTTTTTTTCTTAGTTTTTTTGCCATAATTTATTTGCTAAGAGTTCTAAAAATTATTAAGTATCCGCTAAATTAATTTTCATGATTTTTTTAATAAATTTTTTTCATAATTTAATTACTAAAAAATTTCTAATTGTTCAGTGTCATATTATCGACTGTACGTAAGTATATTTTCAAACTTAACCTCGATTTTACGTCTTAATAATATTATTGTTTTTATTTATAATTACTCAAACAAACAACAATGGAATAAACAACTAAAATTACAGTGGAAAAATATAATGAAGATTATTGAATAATGTAATTGATATTTTTTAATAAAAATATTGATATAAATGTGAGTATGTAAGTATTCAATACTTAGATAAGTATCTAAAATAATTTATGATTCAGAGTAGTAATTATTTATTTAACAGCTTAGATAGCCGAAGTCAATCCGCTGGCGGTGGTTCGTCCTGTTTATCAATATTCATGCGCCGGTTTATTCACGTCCATTTAGATCAGTAGAAATTAATTGTAGCCTTTGCTTAAATTTTATGGACTAGAAGAAAGGCACTAAAAAATTATTAAAATCATGTTTATTAATTACGTGTTATTATATACTGTTATTTTAAGTGTAAAAGCATCAATGTTTGCATCGCCTCCGCAAACTGCTTTGATAATTGGATTTGAAGATGTGTATGATCTTTCACTATTATCAAACACTTTGTCAGACCAGGGCATGGATGTCACTCTGATAGTTCCTTCGTTGAATTCACGAGATATCTATGATCATCTAGTGCAAGTGGAAGTTATTAAAATAAATTTTACTCTAGGAACTGATGCTAAAAAAGTAGATAAAGCTCTGAAAGCTTGCGAGACTGTTTTAAGTGATAAAAAAATTCTTGATAGAGTACGTGAGATTCAGCCAACTTTTACAATCTTTCCGGCTCTGAGGTAAAATTTTTATGATACTAAAGTCAGGCGATGTTTTTAATTTTTTGATTTTTTTTTAATAATTTAATTAGAACAAAAAAATATTTTTTTTAAATTGCACTTACAGTTTTTCAAGTTTTCAACAAATGACAATTTTTTTTCTTTTTTTTTGCAGTCATTTTTTCAATAAAAAAAATTTTTTTAATTTTTAAATGTCGGCTAACTTAATTTTCATAAATTTTTATGACATTAAAGTTAGTTTTAATAAATTGCAATTTCAATTTTTTTTAATTTTTAGATGTTGATTTTTTTTTTCTATAATTTACTTGTAAAAAATTCTTAAAAATATCAAATATCTGGTAAATTAATTTTTATAAAATAACTTATTTTTGTAAATTTCAGACATGATGCTTGCCTTATCCCATTGGCTAAATCTATAGAATCTATACCAGTAATCTGGGCACGAGGACAAGAAGAAGAATATTATGCTGTTGAAAAATCACGAATGGCAATTCCATTTCAAACTGGAACATTTTACGAGAGATTTATAACTAATTTGAATCTAAAATCTATCGTTACCTATGTTGATAATCATTATGTCAATCAAGCATTTAAATTAGTTAAACAGTACATCAATAATGTTGAAGATACTAATTTGGATGGTCTTTATTCTGATGTTAAAGTATTCCTATGGGGTGGCGATCCTATTTTACGCTTAGATTTTTCTCCGTTGACACATCAACTTGTTGAGGTTTGATATTGCAATGAAAATAAATTAATAATGCTTTATTTCGAGATGTACAATTAAGAAATGACCTTGTATCTTGTGAATTATTGACATTTTTAAAGATATAATTTCATCCCGATGTTACACTTATCGGGACCTTTAATTTGAGTACCCACATCAATTTTTCATATATTTATATATATTATATATATGTATATATGAAAAATATATCAAAATGCATGTGGGTACTCAAATGAAAGCTCTTGATGAGTGTAACATCGGGATGAGCTTGTATCATTAAAAACGTCAATATTTAAAAAAATACATTGCAATTTAACAAATATCTTGTGAACTATTGACATTTTTAAAGATATAAGCTCATCCCGATGTTACACTCATCGAGACCTTTCATTTGAGTACCCACATAAATTTTTCATATATTTATATATATCATATATATGTAT